AATTTGCATACGAATGCCATGCATATGCCGCCATGTTATTGTGTTAGTTTGCTAGTATATATGTGTGAGTGTGTGCATTTCAGTTGCAATTTCCGGATGCTATAACCGGAAGTGAAAGTACTCAAAAATTCGTGCAACCGTAAAAGAAGCAAAGTGCGCCAATAAGCAAATGCTCCAGCGGAAACGCCAGCCAATATTGGGCCCAGAACTCGTAGCGCTATTTGGTCACAACTACTCACATATTCGCCTATTTCGAGCTCCCACAGCCAAGGCTTGTCGCCTTCCACTTGGCTCCATTTGCATACGCAACATTCGCATTTGCTGCTGCTATAAATATTACACATGTCGGTATGTCGATGTGGCCAGAAGTATATATGTTTGTACACATATATTTATTTATGCTTGTGCGCCATTGCCGCATTATCGCCTGACTGGGGGGCTGAAACTGTTAGCGCTCGGTGCTGCCATCCCGTAAATCACAATTTTTATATTGATTTATTGCATATTTTAATAGTTGGGAAATGATTGTCGATAAATTTGTATATTATCTACAAATTCAATTACTTTTTTTCTAAAATCGGATCGTTTGAATTTACAGCACTCGCTAAGTATGACAATTCGTTTTTTTGCACAGTTTATTCAATTTCAAGCACATTTATTTAGTTTACCATTTGCAAATAATTAAATTGACTTTGCATTGTAATTTTGTACTTTTTCAACTGCGCCCAATAATGAAATTTAGGTGTGCTGTCTTTCACAGTGTGGCTAAGACGCAAAATCTTTCAGATAATATTTTTACAACTCTAAACGAGCTCTAAGCCTGCAACAGAGGAAAACGATCATGAATTGAATTGCATTTTTAGCTGCGCCATATTTATTGAGAGTCCCAAAAAAGTTTAACTGGAATAACTTGAATTTACTTTTAAGTCCTTCAACAACAAAAAGGTCAACAATAATGGTAACAATGGAATATGCATTTTAATAATTTTAAGCGTTTTTATTCAGGGTTCCGCTAGTGGCTCGTGCCAGTTGGCAATCAAATTTGGCCGCTTTGCCCGTCATTGGAAGGGAAAAACGAGCGCATTTTCCTTTCATTCATTAAGAAACAATTCAGTTTGCGACACGCGCTCTTAATTACACTTTTATGTGACAGCGACAACGGCGAAATATGCGTCTGATCCGCTCTTGCCAACAGCCCAGCATCTTTGCAAGCTGCCTCGCAATTGGCACTGGCAAATTCTTCAAGTTAAATATTTTACGAAGCTGCAATGACGCAGCGGGCGAATTGTATTGGCATAATGAACAATTAAAGTGCTGCTCGTGATTTGAGTCGCGGCCGTGCATTAAGTGCGCATTGTCTGTCGGCCGCTTACCAATTTATAGCAAATTGCAAAGTTTCGTGTCTGCCTGGGAGCCAAAAAATCGCTGTAGGCCAGCAAACAATTTGCGGCTGTAAACTTCAATTGCGCGTTAAATTTTCCATGTCGACATTTTGTGGCCGCCTTAGCTCGCAGAGCGCTGCTCATTCTGCCGCCCTGCCGGCTGGCCCATCTTATTAATGGCATTAATTAAAAATTTAATTTGTAGCAAACCCGTTTGGTTGTTAAATTCGCACTCTGATTTTCCCAGCAGTGATTGCTGTCTCGCTAACAGATTTTTGCGACATAAATCAACTGTCTGAGTGAGCTCCAGCTTGTAGTAGATGTGCCATTAAACATTAATCATAATCATTTTGCTATTCACGGCTGACCTTCAAAACTCGATTAACAAAAGAAAAACGGTAAGAAATATCAATCTGGTCTTAAGGTTAAAGAAATATGTGTTCCATGACCAAGTGACGGCAGCCTAGTTATCGTATTACTTATTATATTTAGATATAAGCACATTCAATACGAAAGCAGTTAGATTACAAGGACTAAGGCCAGACATCTATTTTTATTAATAATACTAAATTGTTGAAGTCACAAATGGCTAGGACTAAATTTTTGCATAGTAAATGGGCTGATAATTAAATGCAGAATAATTAAAGAAGCAATACATAATATCAATACAAAAATATCTATAAGGAAAAACTAATAAAATGCATAATAAAATACAACAAAATAAAATATTTAACACGAAAGTTCAATATTTGCAGAAAGTTAATAGAAAAAATGTTTTTGCTTATCTACGACATTACAAACATGCTTATATGAGAGAAAAAAGACTCAATTTCCTTCTAAGAAAAAAAATGTGGAATGGGACAAACATACACATGTATATGGCTCATGTAAGTAAGTAATTAATTATATTTTATTCCTTTGACACGAAAATATTTTGAATAGTATTAAACTGTATAAAATTTTTGTATCCCGCCTTAAGCACAACAGCTTGGAAGACTTTGCCAAATCGTGGTTTTAATCCTTGGTTTGAATAGGCCCATAAATTAAAGAAACACACACTCACACAACTCCATATAACTGTTTGGTAACATATTTATATGTGTCATCAAAAGTGGTTGCCTTTTCGTATGTGACTGTCAAAACATTTGAGGGCTTAAGAAAACCGGAAGGTCTTCGGCTTAGCTCATCCCTAAGTTAAAAAAAAAATAATTTTAATTATGTTTGCGTTTTAGACAGAGTCTTAATCAGTCAACTGAGACACGCAGCCACACATACTCATTTATGTAAGTTGACTTTAGGGTCCGCTTATAATAAAACCAACAGCTTTGTAGCTCAGGCACTGCGTATACGCATTATGGTATACATGACGTATGCGTAACAAATGTGATGCAACTGCGAATGCTGTGGAAATGTCGCATTGATATATTCTATACGATTATCTTCTGATTTTTTTACTTATTTATCTTATTTTCTTCGTGTGCTCTTCTTCTTGTTGTGTTTGGCTTTCAATTATGTGCTGTCCTTGGCAGTCCGCACAGTTTTTTTTCTGCTCACCATGTGCTACGTCTTTGACAGGACTTCAAAATGCCGCAACTGAGAATGCGGTCAAATCACACGCACGCTTAGCCACACTCGATTTGCTGGCATTGATTTAAGCTGCTGACTGACCAGGGGTGCTGGCTGGAAGCCAAGGCGGCTTCAAAGGACAGCCTTGTCTACTTAAATGTGCTTTAAAGTGGTTATTCGCTTGTTGTGCTTACAATTAATATGAACTCATCTACATCTTAATTACATCTTAATTACATATTTATAGTTCATCTTAATTACATATTTATAGTTCTATAAAATATACATTATTCTTGATTTCAAGAGAAAAATCTTAAATTAGCATTAAATTTGTTATAAATAGAGCATGAATGTTTAATATTCCACAGAATGCCATCTCATATAAATAATACCCATTATATAATTTTATATTTGTTATATTTATTGAGCTAATCTGTACGTACATATTTTAAATTTCATTTGTTTAATTAATCAGAAAAAATTCTTTATTTATACAAAGCAACGCAAGTGAGGGTCGTCAACCATTACCTGCCCCAACGGCAAATTTCTCACAATCTGTGACTGGCTGTGGCCAAGCGAGGCAAAGAAATTGTTGAGAGAAGGTCGTGAGGCGAAAGAGGCGATTAAATGAAAGGCGCAGCAGAAGCCGATGGCCGCACAGCTGTTTGACTATTGCTGAGTGGAGTGTAAGAGCAAAAGTTCTCTTTGCTGAATACGTTCCACTTCCAGTTATGCGTGCACTCCCTTGCGCTGCTTCCGATTTGCCGAGGCTTTCTCTCGCTCTCAGTTTCGCTGAAACATAGCCACATAGGAGCAGCTGCTTTTGCTGCTATTTGGCAGGCAACTCTGAAGCCGTTGCTAAAAGAATCCAACTTCAGTCGTTGGAATTCATTCGTGCGTCGTGGACACAACTGAGCCTCTGTGCACGTGGCCCGTTTCTCTGTATGAGTACTATTGCTTGTGAGTGTGCGTGTTGGTGTACGTGTATCTGTGCCTATGTGTAGTTTAAGGGCACAAGACGGCTAATACTAGCAAATCAAAAAAATAAGGCCAGCTACTCAACTAAAGTGTTCAAACGAATGGGCAAAAAGTTTTTCAGGCTTTTAGACTCGTCTGACTGCCGGTGCCATTGCCGTTACCGTTACCGTTACTCTTACCGTTTGCTTTTTCGTAACAAAGCCACAGCTTCCACCTTCTGCCGGCTCGCGATGTCTTCTCGCTGGCGCCCAATATAAATAAATAATCAGCCGATTGTCCACCCCTTCAAAAGTACTTCACACACACTCGCGCACCCCACTTTCCGGTCATTGACGTTTGCGTTTAATTAAAGCAATTGCATGCCCCTTCGTGTGTGTTTCTTTCCTGTGCCTCGCATGCAGCTTTAATCGCTGCTCAGACAATAACTTAACACGCCAACGGCAGCAGAATAGAAACGCGAACGGAGCAACAGCCGAAGCACGTGTTAGCCAAGAAGGCGCACATGTCAGCGCTCACAGACTAGAGATTGCTTTAAAGTTAATTCCTGAGGATATTCGCAACATTATTGAGCTTTTCAGATATCATATATTATATTTAAAATATACCAAAGTCAAATTTTCACATCGCACAACAATTTCAAATATATTTTAATTGATTTTTTTTATAATTTTGGGCTACCTGATATATTATTTAAAACAAAAATTGAATTTAAATTATCCATTCTCTGCTTAGTTTAATTGAAATTCTAATAAAAGCTGAAACAGTTTGTGATGTGTTGTCTAAACTAAAAACGAAGAATGAAAGAACAAATAACTGTTTACCAACAACTCGCCGAAAAGCCAAATAAAAGTTATGAAGAAAACCCTACGCCATAAAATATAATATTTCGTATCTCATCAAAAGCTAAGAAGTGAACGAAACGGTTTCATAATAGAAAACTTTGTTCATACATGTTTGCACAAGTGTGTGTGTGGTTATGTGCGAGTGTAAGAAAATAACTAAAACACAAGAATAAAATTTATATATATATATATTTATATATATAAGTACGAACAATCATAGAGGATACGCGAACTTCAAATCAAAGGATTTCCATCGTTGCTGTTGAAGGACAACGTCTAGTGCACGGACGGAAATTGATAAAATCGACCACGGCAGCTAGTCGAAGAGCTGTGGATTATTATCGAAAAGGCCAACAACGACGCCTGGCAGCAGTCATAAAATAAAAGCACTGGCGTCAGCAATGCCCATCAGGGCCAGAAACCCGATCCTTTCATATGCGTTCGTCTGGAGAAGGCATTAACACAAGGTAAATCAAGCAGACAGAACACAAAGCAAAGCAAACTGAACCCCAAATGCCCATTGGAATGCAAAGAGCTGTCGGAAACATATCGCAATGGATTTATGCTAGGCCCAACAGCGATTTTCCAATTTCCCGGCGAGTTTTGCGAATTTTGAATGCGATTCAAATTAAAAGCAATTTCAAGGTCAGGCCATCACTGTGGCTTTTGGCATAAGGTTTTACCTTTTTTCGTGGGAATATTGGTAATAAAAGCAAGCGTTTTATTATTATTTATTTAAAACAAAATAGAAAAAAGGAAATACAAATACAAATAAAATAAATCAAACAAAAAAAAAACAAAAAAAAAAGAGAGAAAGTAGATGGCAATTAACAAAAAGTTAAATGAATTTAACAAACTAAACACAGATCCCAAGTCATATACACGCAGAGGTATATATGCTAGCTGAAGTCTGCAGTCTATCCGTAGCTGAAGCTATACTCCTTTATTGACCCAAACACAAATGTAACGTAAGGTAGATGACTTTTCGGATATTTTATAAATTTTTGAAGTCTTTTAACATATTTAATTTAAAATCAATCTTCTATTATCACAGGTAATAAATTACGAACTCTCTTCAATATGTTCGCCTGTCAGACTTCACTGTGTGTCTTACTCCAACTTGCAATAAATTTATTTAGTAATAAAACCAATTCGAAAATAGTTCATTGTTGATTTGAATTCATAAGTTCACTTTAAGATCTTATGCACGATAAGCTTAAATTTAGTTTTAACAGTTTTAAATTCTTCTATGCAATTCAACAGCGATTTTTCCTTTTTTTTTATTCTTAAACTAAATATAAATTGACTTTATTAAATATTTTTTGTAATTTTGGAAAAACAAATGATTTTTTATTTTCATTTGGTTCCGCTTCGTTCTTAGCTGCCTTTTGCTGTAAGAGGGTAGAATATGTATTCGTAAAGCGCACGAGATAATCAGTACTTGACCATATCAATCAAGTGTTGTCTTATATCGCTTGCTGTCAACGGGCCAAAAATCAATTCAAGTAAGATAAATTAGTTAAAAGTGAGTGCCTAGGCGCCAAGGCTGTGCCGTGGAGACTCGTCTCGACTTTCACTTGTCATTGCCACAAATATTAAGCGATTATAATGCCATAAATCTAGGCAACGTCGACGGCTACGGCAACGACAGCGACAATAATCGCAGCAATATGAGTAGTCCAAATGCCGTCCTGTCAGACAGCCCAGTCACGTGCACAGCTTCATTGGGTGGGGGATGGAGGAGCGGATGGGCGAAGCCCAGGTGTGGCATCAGTGAGCGACTATCGATGACGCACATAATGCCATCTGTCAAAGGGAAAGTGTCATAATTTGCTGGAATGTCGAGACACGCTTACGCTTATCACTCATACGCCGCGTCAGCTGATGAGGCTGATAAGCTCCGCTTCTGTCGGTATCAAATTATTCATACTGCATATTACTTAGTTAATTTCGGTTATTCCTTTTTTTCTTTTTCGATTACAATTTATTTTTTATCGCCACAGCACATTTAAAGAAGGCAGGTGCTTCGCTTCCCTTGCTTAAAGTAGGCTCACCTGGTTTGGAGTCCCACCATTTCGCAAGTCGTTTTTTCCTTTGCGTGCTAAATTTAGAAGAGCACAAAGCACACTTATTTTTGAAGTATTCTCAATATAAATTGTCATTTCCTAGAATTAAAAGATCTCACAAAATATTTTATTATTATTGGAGTTAGATTCGTTAATAAATATAATAAGTAAAACCAGCACAGAACCCACAGAAAATATTTCATATTTTTAGAGTTTAGTTTTTGAATTCAAATTCAATAAAAATGCAAAATTTAATAAAAATTTTTAATTTATTCTAGTTTTCAATGCATTTAAAATTTAATATTTTACAGCTTCGCGAATTATTAAATGCTTTAAATTTGTATAGTTAAATTATATAATTAAAAAATGGTCCGTTAGAGCTAAACAGGGTAATTTAGTATTTTTCTGCAGTGATTTGATATTATTTCTCAAGCTTTCTGCAGACTTGGAAAATTTATTTAGTTATCGGGTTGAATCTGAGTGGCTCTATTTTAAAATAATCGCTTAGTTCCTGCAGGATGGAGAGTGTGCAAGGCAATAATGCCAGGCCACCTTGATTATCAACAAGTCTCATATGCTGCAATTCTTTATTGCCTGGCAACCAGAACGGCTGTGTAGGATCGCTCGATATGATATTGCGCAGCAGCTGATGAAAATCAGCGAGCCTATCCTCGAAGGACACAGAAAAGCGCATTGGATCAATCGCTATGTAGACCTGGCCCAGATCACTCGATTCGGTGTCCGAACTAAAGAGTCCGCGCCGTCTCAATTGCGTTGCGTATCGGGCCCCTGTCATGACCCCACACAGTATGTCGACCATGGCAGCCAATCCGAAGCCCTTATGCTCGGGCGTAAAGGGCCGCAGACGCTGAGCACGCAACGCTTCTGCGGCACAGTTGGTTGGCATGCCATGGGAATCAAGTGCCACATTGTTGGGTATGTGACGCAAATATCCATTGGAGTACTCCAGCGCCAGTTGCTCAATGGGATAGGCCGGCATGCCCACTTCCATGATGAATTGATCGCTTGTGCTGCCCACTGAACAGGCAATTGAGTTACGACCAAGCAACGGCTCAATTCCGCCGCTCGGCACCAGGACGGCTGGTCCGTTCGACATGCAGATGCCGATCATGCGATGGGTCAGCGCCTGGCAGGCGTACCACGATTCCAACCCAATAGCGTTTGAGCGGTGTGCTGCCACATAGCCTATACCCTGCTTCCGCGCCTTATCTATGGCCAAATTAATACAGAAGTTGGCCACCACCGGGCCGGGCGCATTCTGCCCGTCCACTAAAGCCACTGCATCGCGCTCACTCTGCACCTTTGGCTGCTTGCTTGGGTCTATCGTAAGGTTGAGCAAATCGACTGTAATGGCAGGCAGACTATGAATACCCAAGCTCCTCTTGCCCATATAGTCAGCAGCAATAAGAGCATCCGACATTTCGCTAGCCGCCTCATTTGGCACGCCCAAGGTCGCAAACACGTCATGCACGAAACGCTGCGCCTCCAGCACATCCACCAAGACTTCCTTATTTTCATATTTCACCGTGGATGCCTGCGGCTCCAGGTATCCCCCGCACAAAAGCAGCACATGCCTCAGATTCTCCCAGATATGGCCTGAACCAGCAGTGCTGCTTCCTGCAACAGCTGTCATGTTAGCGTTAGCGTCACTACAAGTTTGTCCACCATTTTGTTTGTTGTTGGCTGAGGCTTCAGGGCTGGGATGTGGCCGCAGTCTCCGCAGTGTACCTAGAAAATGCAGAACTTTACGCATTTCAGACAATTTAATCCAAGTTCGATTTCAATAATGATTAGAGCTGCGCTGTATACTTCAATTTAAGTGTAATGCCTTAAAAGAAATGCAAATATATGTGAATCGAATAATGCTTATATGGAATATTAGAAAATGTCCCTGTCAGTTGGTGCCTTCTTACTTGATCAAATATTTGCAAAGAGCGTCTGGAAACAAGCTTGGTCCTCCACTAGGGCCTACGCACAATGACAAGTCTCTAGCTCTTTTAGAGACTGACTGTAAGACAGGGAATCAATTCAGGGCATAGAATGAGAATCTTTAATGCTTACAAATTGTTTCACAATCGATGTAATTTATTTATTTTGTCAACACTTAAAAGGAGATATACATGGATAGATCAAATAACCTTAACGTTACTAGAGGTAATTAAGGATCCAGACATGTATCTAATACAATTTCGATTTCTTTATTAATAAAATACTTGTAAATGGAAAGGTCTGTGAATTCAACAACATTTGAGCATTCATCTGTATCTAATCCTTGTTTTGAATTGCTCGCCACGCCATACAAACATTTGGTCGAAAGCGCTTCGGAATACCTTCCATAACAGGGACCGACAAAGGCGCTGCCACTGTCACCTAAGCATAGCTTAACACCACGACCGATTTTTACTTTGAACATATCTGAACCCTCGGTGGTATTCTGTTCGATTTTGTTGGCAGTTGTTAAGGTCAGATTAACAGATGATGTGATATCCGAAGTGTTCCACGAGGTGACCTCTCCGGAAAGATTTAGCGGTATGTTTTTCTCATAATTAGCATTATAAGTCCAAGGCAGGCAAATCACTTTGGGCACATACGATCGTTTTTTTCGCCGCAATTTTAGCACAGCTATATCGCCAACAATGGGTTCTCTGTTATATCGTCTAAGAAAAAAATAAATTTAAGAGCCCGATTAGTATATTGAACAAAGCTTGATTCAAAGGAAACTACACATACTCATTGACTATTATAAGATCTACTAAATCCAGATTATAGTCGTTGTCCATTACAGTTTGATCACTTAGTGAATTACCCACTCGTATTAATGCTTCCGAAAGAATCTTATTGTCGACTGTATAAAGGCAATGAGCTGCGGTCAGCACCAAGTTGCTTTTTATGCGAACTCCGCTGCATGTACGCTTGAATATGGTTCCGTTCCGTGTGTAAAGCGGGACAGTCCACGGCGACTTCAGAGGATGAACTGTTGGTGCATTCTTACTTAGTAGGGTTGAATCTGTCTCATCTATGCCGCAAAGCTCTGTACAATAGTCCTTCAAAGCATATATATTAGTCCAAGTTCCATCTGGCTGACATTTCACATTCATTGAGTCCTGCAATCTTTGCGAACCGTATTTGCAATTCAAATTCACAATAGTGCCGACTGGTATCCGATCCTTACATTTAAAGTTCATTTCTGGAAGGGTACATATCGGCAGCACCATGTCGTGACAATCGATTTGGCCACCGTCGCATGTCTCTGTGTCAGCATAATAAGCATTATCAATTCTGCGATTATTCTCCCTACAAAAGCGTACTTACTCAGACAGGTTGGAGCGTGATAGGGGACTTTGTTCCGACTCCATTGCTTATCTTTGCATTCAATTTTTGATAACGTTAAATTACTCGGATACAGTACGGTATTACCCCTGCATGAAAACTGTACTGTCATGGAATTTATGGGCGGGTAGACTTCAGTTGCACAATTATAATGCCGGCACTGCTTGATTATTAGATTTTCGTCATATGTGTCGATGGCGCATCCATTGGTGCCGTTTGTATCCGCATTGAGATTCAATTTCTTTGCGGGACATAGCGTATCACCGATGTTCCATTTACCCGTTCTTAGGCAAACGTCCCATTCGGTACCCTTAATGTGTGTGCTGGTATCCCTGCACGCAAAGCGAACCGGTTGACTTGGATATACGAAACGGTGGGTCCTATTCATATGGAATATAGTATTACCAGCGAATCGCAGTCCCTTCTCTTTCGGTTCCACACACACTTTTGGAGTGTTCCATAACCAACCAACTTGATTTCTGCACATCTTTTCTATTTCATCGGAACCATCAATACAATCAAAGACGTTATCGCAACATTTACTTTTGCTTATATATACACCATTTGCGCATTGATACATGCCACTAATGCCCATGCTCATGCACAGATCTGGAGACTCATCTCGTCCATCCTCACAGTCAATCTTGCCATCGCACATATGTTCGATTGTTAGGCATTTTCCAGAATAACATTGAAAAGAGTCTCTGCAAAAAGATTGTTCACTTTTCTTAAGAGCTAGAATTCATTATAGAAACTTTCCAACAACGTAATTTGATTCATCAGCACTTAAAGGAAAATAATTTTTTTTAATTTTGATATTTGACTTTTTTATTATTGATATTTGATTTGGCTATTAAGCATAGATTAAATCGACAATCTAGAAACCTCAAATTATTTTTATTTACCCGTTGAAAAGGCAAAATCAAGGTATAATGATTTTCGGACGGACACACAGACAGACGGACAGGACTCAATGGAATCGGCTTGTCGTCCTGATCAAGAATATATATTTTTTATGGTGTCTGCCACGCCTCATTCTGCCTGTTACATACCTTTGCACAAAACCAATATGCCCTGATTTGACATTTTTAATGCTATCGGGTTATAATTACTTATATAAGACAATTTATTTTTCTCTGAGATGAATGTACATCCTCATTCCGCCCCAAATTATTATCGAGGGTGTTCAAAAGGTATTTGTACATAGATGTATGTATAAACTTCAAATAATAGTAGCAGTGTTGCGCAGTCCAGCTAAACTGATAAGAGTAATCTTTTTGAGCAGCGAATGCTACTTTTTTGTAAAACACATATTAAGAGCATATCTCGAACTGCACATCAAATGGATTCTACTTTATATCGTGTTGCTGCTATAACTCTCGTACATACTCAGCACAGTGGCCACGTTTTGAGTTCTCATGAATTTCGCAGTTGGCATGCTCATCCGACCGGTCGGCGCAGTCAATGATGTCGTTACACTCCTGGGTATTCATAATCATGGCACCGTATGCGCAGGAGAAATAACCTGTTGGTATATTCAAAGTTTTGCACACCATAAATGATTCGTCGCTGCCGTGTTTGCAATGGCGGGTGCCGTCACAGACCAAACTATTGTCGATTTTCAAACCATCTTCTTCGCATGTGAATTCGAACGAAGAGCAATAATATATTGACTCGATCAAAAGCAATATTACGAATATGCGACCGCACATTTTGATTTCGATGAACTAATTCACGCAACTGCCCGATTTCATCTGGCTTAAGCTCACTCTTATAACGTTATGGAAAGAAATTGCTCACCAAAGTTGCGATAAGGGGCAACTCGGACTTATTGCATTGTGCTAATCTGTGAAATTGTTTACTCGTATAGTGTATATACTGGAGCATGGCAAAGCGTTTTCAAGTTTGTGCCTCAACAGTCGGCTGCGACCTTATATCACTATATCACTCAATGTAGTGACTTATAGAAAGTCTCTTCTAATATAATATTGCCGGAAAGTAGAAATTTTGACTATGTAATCTTTGAGACATGCCATTTTTCGGAATATACTCTGTATGTATAGTGGGATAAAGGCTTCTAAAATTTGAATATTCATTTAATTTCAGTTTCTGTAGACCCCTCTTAAGATTTGCTCAAAGTTGTGTATCGTTATATAAATATAAATAATTTTTTAATTATTAATATTATCTGACGTGGTCCATATACACACAAACACACATTTACATATATATTTATATTATTTCAATTCCTTATATTCTCATCTCATATAGCCCAACCCAACTTATTCAAAGTAATACGTATATAGTGTATGATTGAATAATAAACACAACTTTGGTCAATTTAAATGTTTCAAATCAAATCAAATCAAATGAATATAATAAAATATTATATATATAAACACATATTTAATTAATATTTCAGACCGAGGAGAGCTTTTGAAAAATGAGTACGCTGCTCTTGGAATCAGACTATCAAGGCCACGCCTGTCAAGCACTCGACTATAGATAGTGTATTCCGCGCACAACTTTGAGAGCAGAATTGCAAGATTTTCAAGTTCGTTGAAGAGCAGTTAAACGCGTAGATTATGTGGAATTGCCAACAGCCTATACCGCAGCTGCGGCTGCTGCGGTTGGTGCTGCTGCTCTTGGCTTCATCAATTGGCTGGCTTGATTATGCCACAGCCTCCACGCACGATGTCTACAACGGAGCGCGCCCGGGACATCGCATTGTGCAAACTCGATATGGACGCTTGCATGGAATGATTCTGCCTTTGGATAACTTCCGCTTTCTGCGCTCAGTGGAAGTGTTCCTTGGTGTTCCCTATGCCACGCCTCCGATCAAACAAAACCGGTACGTGCCCTAAAAAGAGTAAATGAATTTTATTTAGGATGAGCTATAGTCGTCTCTTCTGCCTTGTAGCTTTAGTCCAACGCGTGCCCCAGCACCCTGGGATGGAATACGTATCTCAGATAAATACAGCCCCGTGTGTCCACAACGGTTGCCCAATATACAAAATGAAACCGCCGCCTTGGAGAAGATGCCAAAGGGACGCCTGGAGTACTTGAAGAGATTGTTGCCCTTTTTGGAAAATCAATCCGAAGATTGCTTATACCTGAATATATTTTCACCTGTTAATGGTAAGATTGGACGATAAATATCTCTCTTTTTTATACCCTCAACCCACTCTAATTCTAATAAAACTTTAATTTAAGTTTAATTTTAAAGTCAGATTTTAATATTTTTAAAAATTGCCTTTATTGCTATTGTGTGACTTTGTGTTTTTGTCTCAGCAGCTGGCGCTAATGAGAAGAAGCTACCTGTAATTGTGTTCATACACGGCGAGTCGTTTGAGTGGAGCAGCGGCAATCCTTACGATGGCAGTGTGCTGGCCAGCTATGGCGATGTGGTCGTCGTGACGCTTAATTACCGACTTGGAATACTGGGTAAGAAGGTGGCAAGTGGTCTGTGGCCTCGATGCATAATTGTGCGGAACTTCTCTGCTCGCTATCATCCGACAGGCTTCCTCAATGCGAATCCCAGTCCGCATGTTCACGCACGTGTTGCCAATTATGGCCTTATGGATCAGATGGCTGCGCTCCATTGGATACAGCAGAATATACAAAAGTTTGGAGGTGATCCGAATGTTGTTACCCTAGCAGGGCATGGAACGGGCGCCGCATGCATCAACTATCTGATGACCTCGCCCACAATGGTGCGAGGGCTTTTCCATCGCGCCATACTGATGTCTGGATCGGCGTATTCATCGTGGGCTCTCGTAGAGGACCCAGTCCTGTTCGCCATTAAGCTGGCCAAAGAGGTTAACTGCACCATACCCGAGGACTTGAACAGACATCATGAGCAGATCGTCGACTGCCTTCGGGATGTGCCGTTGGAGGATCTATATGGCGCCGATATACAGGCACCAAACTTTCTCACATCGTTTGGCCCATCCGTAAGTTCATCCAGTCAAGCCGTTGTTGCATATGGCAATTCAGAGTATATTGATTTTGTGAAAACATATGGAACAGGCAGAACATTTATATGTATGCTCATCACATTTCTTTATTACCGATAAGAATCGATAGAATTCGTTATCTTAGATTAGCTTGAATACCGTAGAAGATGGAAGCATTCGATTAACTGCTGCAGCAATGAATACAGAGATTTAGCATGTTTCGGATTTTGGATATCATTCTCTCTTAAAGTCTCAAAAATCATAATAGACTTGTTTTTTAGCATTGAGAAGAAAACTTATTCAACTATTAAGTCAACATAGTGAAGTTCATACTGCAACCCAAGCGCAGTCGCTGTACAAGTTACGCACTCCTTGCAAAGTTCAGGTATTTGCTAGTCGAGCAACCAATCAAAATTTTAAGCACTAATAGGTAAATAAAATAGGCTAGCGCTCAGAAAAGAATGGAATTGAAATGATTTTCGATTATCCTCAAGCAGGATAAAAATTCCTGTTTGCTCAGAGGACTCAAACTGCAAGTACTTCCACGTCAACTGCTCAAGTAGTTTCGTTGTTCGCTCCTTTGTGTTGTTTTGTGTGCTCAAGCTGACATTTTTTCACGCTGATTTTCGTTCGTCCATCTATTTCGATCATCTCCTCGCCTAAATGGACTTTATTACTTACTTCAGTAGCTTTGGGCTACTTCTGAAAGGTTTACTAAGTTTGCGTACAACAACAAGTGAATGCTCTCTTCTCTTCACATTTTTGGTTTGTTTCAATTTTTTCATCTATTTCCCTCTGGCTCGCAATTTTAATTTAGGTTGATGGCGTTGTCATACGACCCGGACATTCCAATCTCGATATTGATGATTTAATGACGCGCAACTCGAAGCGCTCTACGGGCGACGCTGGAGCCCAGTCTGGCAGTGGTAATGGCGGTGGATCCGGCGCTGGCTCCGCTTTTGGCGGGGGCTACTTTGGAGGAGGCGCTGCCACGGCCAACATTGGTGGCCATTATGATGTGCTCTTCGGCGTTGTTACGGGCGAATCCATTTGGCGCTTCAGCGCCCACGACATACAAAACGGCTTCGAGGGCGAGAGAAGAGATAAAATAATACGCACTTACGTGCGCAATGCTTACAACTACCATCTCAATGAGATATTCTATACGGTAAGTACGCTCTGCCTATAAATATTCTCGGCAAACTTCACCATTTGCCTTGCCAAAAGTGCCAGACCGGAACCGGCTGTGGCCCTGGGTCTAGGTCTGCGCTGCCCAAAAGCTGCGGTTTGCAGTCCGTCACATAAATCTTGTAATCAGATTGCAGCTTGCCAGTGGTTTTCGCTGCTTCTTGGAATCAGTTAGTGCAGCACCTTATCGCCAGTCTACTTATTTACTGTGTCGCTCTTTCCACTTAGGGTTGTTTCAGTCTTGGTATAACTTAGTTGCGCATTTTACCAAAAACTTTCCAGACTTCAGACTTTAGACCTAAACTTGGGCATGAAAAGTGAGACAAAAAGCAAATATTTCTTAAGCTGCCATTACTTTTTAACTGCTAATAACATTTGACTAACTATAATTTATTAGGAATAGCAAACCACTTACGTACGAGAGAATCATATATATATATATATATATATATATATATTTATTTATATACATATAAAGGTCAACATTATTGTTATTACTTAAGGTAAATACTTTTTATGCGCCAAACAAGGTTTTTATTCAAATTAACATCGCGTTCAATGGCCAACGTTAAAATAACACGAAAAACTCATGATGTTTGCGAAACAAAAACATTTTGCATAAATGGCAGCACCAAAAAAATAGGAAAGCGAAAGATGGAAGCAAACAAAAATAGACCGAAACAAAGAAAAAAAAGTCTATTTAAATGTTCGCTCGCTCGGTGTAACTGTAATTATAAGTGCCCATACGTAACACAGTGCGTATGGGTAACATTCGCAGCAACAAATGAACACAAACGAAGGCTGAATTTTACTTTGTCTAACTGCAGCTTTTCAACATATTATTCTATTTTTTGGTTTTTCTTGTTGTTTTTCGTTTCGCATTTCTCGTTTGTATTTATTTTATACGAGTTTTTGTTTTTTCCTTTTTTTTCTGTTTTGTAATGCGCAAGCGAGCGAAATGGAAGGCAGTTAACACGCCATTGCAGCCGAAACATTAACACGCTTTATTTGGCAAATGTGTAAGGCTGCTATAAATGTGTGTGTGTGTGTGTGTGAGGGTGTGCGCATTTGCAAGGACACTGTTGCTTGTGTACGTACATAGCTATGTATCTATATGTAGATACATATATATGTGCCACGCACACCTACTTAAAAGCATACAGGCTACACTTAACCCAAATCACAGTCGCAGCAAAAGCAGCATCAGTGAAAGCAGCAGCAGCCAACGACAACAGTCAGCTCACCACCTCATCCTTAGGTACATCATCAGCGCCAGTCGACGTTGTCACCATTTGCCATATTAAAACCAAGTATACGTGTGCATCTGTATGTATATGTGTGTGTCTGTTTGTATGTCTGCACTTAAAGCCCACACACACACACACACAGATACACATGCAGACATCAAGGAGCCGTAAATTGCCAACGCATATATCACGATTATAGCACATACCATACATTCGTATTTATTTTACTTCATTATACCCGTGCGCTGCCAACGGCAAATGTCAAGCTCGCTGCAATTCAGCACTGAGGTTTATAATGCATTCAGTAATGGCATATATGCTATGTATAGACCACGTCAAGCACTTCCCTCGAAGGGCTAAGAAACGAATCTACAGAAATTATATACTTTCGCATATGTATTTGTCAGCAAGATGAATTAACAGCAATCGGTGAACAAAATAAATGTGAATGCGAAGCTTTCTGTATCTTATATGCTATATAAAGTGTTCTTAATGCTTTGCTAAAAACTTTAAAATATGATAGAAACAATGAAGTATCTCACTATTGAACTGAAATTTAAACAAATATTTAAAGTTCATTGTTTAATTCTGTTCGTTATTTGAATAATTTTCCATATAAGCGAATGCGAAACGAAACGTAAACAAATGCATAGATTTATTTGAATAAATACGAAATAGTTGTGTCAATTCGAAGCCTTAAATTATACATGACATCGATTTTGCATATGCATTGTGTGATCCATTTTAAAACCCACACACATGGTGGCAAAAACAATAATAGCCACAGAAAACAACAGCAGCAGCAAAAATCCGGCTGTAATCCTGCCAGGATTTCACTTGCTGTACAAGCACAAATATGCATGTATTAAGCCAGCATAGTTTGCAGAAATACTCTAACTGGGGCGTAGTTGTGCCTGCTATAAGATTTTGAGCCACAAATGAAAATGTTCAGAAAACTTCATTGAAAGCAAAAAGCAAATTGCTCGAATTACGTTACATTACATCATGTCAATTATTCTTTTTTTTTTATATTTTTAAATATACTAATTGTCAGAAGACAATCGCCTACAAAAAACAAAGTCTAAAGAAAACTAAAAAAAAAAAAAAACAATTTAAAAAAGAAGTCAAAATAAAATGAACTGAGTAACTGTGGCAATTGAGTTGAGCAAATGGTGATTGAGTTGTTTCAATAGCTTGCACTTATTTTATAATAATAATAACTCATAAATTGTTACACTGCGCACAGATTGTCAACGAGTACACGGACTGGGATCGCACTTCGCAGCATCCGATTAACACGCGCGATACGGCTGTTGCCGCGTTATCCGATGCCCAGTTCGTGGCGCCCATAGTGCGCACTGGAGACATATTGGCGGCCAATTCGCCACCGCCAGTGAGCTCGGCGGCGCCCAGCGGAGCGGCGAGTGCGGGCGCTGCGACCTTGGCGGCCTCCACGCAGCCCGCGGGCCGCTGTTACTTCTATGTCTTCGACTATCAGACCAAAGACGGCGACTATCCCCAGCGCATGGGCACAGTGCATGGCGAAGACTTGCCTTACATATTTGGTGCACCGCTCGTCGATGGCTTCAGCCACTTTCCGCAAAACTACACCAAGTCGGAGACGGCGCTGTCAGAGGCCGTCATGATATACTGGACGAATTTCGCGCGCACCGGGTAAGCTAAGTAGTTGCAGTTGCCTTCCCCATTACCTTCCCTAGCCCCAAGTACTTGGCCACTTACCGTAATTCAAGTCATCCAAGCGACAGAGCTGCTGCTATTCTAAACACTTCTTCTTCGTGTGCATCACTTAGTACTGATTGTCAGTGAGAAAGGAAAGGAAAGTGCTTCCTTGGACAGCTGAGCAACAGCTTTCCGGCACCTGCTGCCTGACTACATACCTGGCTTAAACACTTTTCCCCTAGACAACCCAATGCCCGGAATGAGCAAAGAAAATTCTTTGCCAAATATTCAACTAAATTGTGCTTCATTTTCCTGTTTCTCTTTTCCCCTTTCAGCAACCCGAACGAACATCATCGGCAGGACTCTGTGCTGCCCGTTTCCAAGGAACGCAATCGTTTTCGCAGCATCACATGGGAGAACTATGATCCTTTGCATCAAAAGTATTTGGAAATAGGTGAGGCAACAAATATTTTTTCTGCCTAGAAATCGTTTCGAGAAAATTGAAAAGCATATTTCTTAGGCAAAAAAATTGAATTTGATAGCTTTTCTACAATTTTATGTTTATTTGAATTTGTTACGTTATATATAATTTATATAATTTTTGTATTCAATTTATACAAAAGTTAATTAAATATATAAAAAAGAGACTAGTGAAGGTGGACAACTATGCAGAGAGTTTGCAGATTTTCATATATATAACTTAATTGATCGAGGTGTGAGCAGGCTGCAAGCATATAGCATAAGTCGTGTAAAGTGTTGCACTTTTCAAAGACTATATAAAGCTGACAAATATACTACGCCATCAAAGACTTGAGACTACAACAAGTCTCACGTCACATATAGCATGTCTTGTAATTTGTTTCACTTTTCAAAGACTATATAAAGCTGACAAATATACTACGCCATCAAAGACTTGAGACTACAAGTCTCACGTCTCATCTGGCTTGCCTTTTCATAAACTCAATCCACCCTTTATTGTTTCTTTATGGTGATAGGGTATTAAAGTGACGCAAACAACATACAATGTATGAGTAGCATAAAAAATTATTTAACAGTAAAATGGAATTCTCGGAATGGCTTGATAAAAGCGACAAATTGCAAGATACTTTAAAATGTTCGTTTCGGCAACGCGAATCAAATTTAATTTAAATTTTAAAAAAGCCAAAAACAGCTCGCACATACAAACAAGCTGCAGGGTCTGTTGCGACATGAGAGTGGTGTCAAGAGTGGCTAAAATTCAGCATCACAATTGCGTGGGACGGAACACAGCTAAGCAAGGCTATATGGGAGTGGCAGTTGAACGTCACCTGCTCGAGATAACACAAGCATAGAAGCTGCTATCGGATCAAATGACAGCCGTGAGCACTACCTGTCGTCTGCCATGCGCCCTACTATTTTTATAAAATTTGCTTTTAGCTCATATATAGAAATATGACTAACTACAAGCATTTTCCTGAAGTTTTTAATAAAATTAATCAAAGCGGATTTTCTACACCGTTGATATGCCCGTTTGGCTCTTTTGTAGGGCGCCAGAGATTGTCGAGCAGACAAGGCTTTACGTATGCTAAAAAATGTTGCCATCGCGTCATATTAAATGTGCGCAAGTGTTATTTAGTTCACATTTCTCACACCGCTGGCGTGTCCATCAACACCAACAGCCCAGACAGCCATTCAAATTTTATGAACGTGTAGAGGAATCGTAATGAAATTTGAAAGCCCTTTATCCAGATGCTATCTGTATTACTGCGGGAAGAGAGAGCAGAAAATAAGACTTCGATTTTAGCTGAAATGAAATTTATATGGAAATCAGTTGCAGAGACACGTGTATTTTAGCTCATATAAAATGCTCTTTGATTGCGTCATAAGTCTGCCTGCTCGTCACCTGTATACACGCCCTGCTGCGTCTGCGAAAATTTAACTTGATTTCTGTTTGGTTTTAATTGAAAGCGCAAGACGAAAGCGGCATCTCAAGCACTCACTCATATCTACTCCCACGCCCACGCTCACGCCCATGCTCTGGAGCGTTCTTCACAAATTTGTTTTGAACGCTCTGCAATTCTGGCACACACAATAAGCACAAAGGATGTAGTGGCGAGAGATTTGAGAAAACCCACGCATCATTGTGAATTTTGATTTGAAATATTAAAAAACCGACATCGCAATCGAAATCGAAATCGAATTATGTGAATACGCAGCGAACAGCTGCACGAGCACAAAATGTTACGCACACAGCAGCGGCAGCAGCAGCAGCTCACACACACACACAAATCATTGAAGTCAAAGTTGAAAGTTCTGTTGCGTAAATTATGCATTCTCCAAGTGTATGCAGCATTTATTCAAAGACTTCTATAGGCGACACGTCAACTGCAGTGAAGCGAATCGATTTGTGAGAGTTGTTATGTTTCTTAACCTTTTTGCACATACAGAAAGTGGTACAAATATCCTTTCAATATCTTTTGTATGATAACACATTTTACTTTGCTCGTTTAACATTAGACATCAATGTAGGACAAAGTTTATACATTTTTATAAATATATACAACGATAGCAAGTGAGTTTCTTAAAGTGTTGCCGTTGCTCTCTGAAGTTCCAGTTGAATAGCACGCTTTTCGGCTTTTAAGTAGTTTTATCAAAGAGCTAAGCCTTGTAAATAGGCAAGACCCTAGAAGTATTTCATATCATTTGATTGCTTAATAAACAAACTGGCACGGAAGCCATAGAACAGACCCAGCAAAAAGAAAATCGAAAGGCGAATAGGTAAGACAACCCCAAACAAACGCCAGCGTGTGACCCAACTGAAGGCATCAAAAATTAAGCAGCTCAGTCAGTTAAATAAACAAGACATCAAACTAGACAAGCAGGTGAATGCGGATGAGAGGTGTCCTCAATACCGAAGTGGCTCAGCTTGTTGGCATGCAAATGTCTTGAAAGTGCCCTCAGCTCAGCAACAGTTGCTGAGGGGACGAAGTAGTTGACGCCGACTGGAATTTGTATGCATGAATGCCGCCCATGACATAGAAATAAAAATGTGTTTATTAACGCTTTTGTTTCCGCTTGTTCTTTTCTTTTTCTATTTATGGCCAACACGCAAATCGCAACCATCTTGAAGGCATGAAGCCACGCATTAAGAATCACTTTCGGGCTCACCAACTCTCGATTTGGCTGCGTCTGATACCCGAGCTGCATCGTGCTGGAATGGAAGATGTTATAGCCAGGCACAATCTATTTCGCAATCACGACGATATGGAATTGTACGAGGGACCCGTTAAGCCAGATCCATTTGGTCTCTCAGCGGGCGCAGGCACTGGCACATCATCATCCTCCGCCTCCTCCTCGTCCTCCTCGTCGCGCCTGCTACTTATCGATGAGCAATTGATGATGAAGAAAGGACGCGGCCTGAATGCCTCGACCTATTTGAATGGCATATTGGGGGGTAAGTAACAATGTCCTCTGCAATACAAATAACCATGACATCTGCTGCGTAACTTCAGCCTTTTGTAATTGTCAATGGCAAGTAAACGGCCAAACGGTCGGATAGGTTATCTCAGCAGCTCCAGACAATCAGTCAGACAGACTTGAAGAGAGAGCGCTGTGCTTGCCAGACGCCTTTAAGCAGCGAATTATATTCAAGTCAAGTCTGGCATGTGAAAGCTTGTAGCCGGAGGCGCTATTCGTTAGCCAGGGTATCTGGACAGAATTTATATTTCTTTTGACTTTGAGAGCTCCTGATCCAGGCTTTAAGCTCACAGATTGTAAAATCAAAATGAAAATTCTTAGCGCAAAAAGTTCATCTAGTCTTAATTTTTTTTGGATTTCTTCAAATTAATTTTTTAGAATTTAAGCTAAAATTTGTTTTGAATTTCGCACAGGGTATTTCTCAATCCATCACAATTATCCTGACTCAGACTATTGCTGATTGCTTTGTATTTGCTGTAGTTGGCATTTAATAAGTAAATTTGACAAAGGTTTGCAAGGAAAACAGCCTAAAGGCCTGCATCAGTTGATGTTTCAATATATTTTTTCAGTTTGCTACCTGACATAACCAAAGTCCGCAGAATATTGCGTAGCTCAAATGAAATCAGTTGAAGCAACGTGAAATAATTGAACTTTGATCTCCGAAACTTCAATTTGATGATTTTCAATTTAGCTATTTATTGAAAATTATCAAATCAAACCCATGTATTCTCTGGAACTCAGTGTTAACTACATATTAAAGTAAAGATAATATATCAGATATTAAAACGTAAGTTTATCTATTATTGGCGCAGCAAGTAGAGTTATGAAATCTAAGTAGGGCTGCGGTTGGAAAAATACTTTTAAAAATTTTACTTATTTTTTTTAGATATAAACGTAAATTTGTAACTGAATAAAGGCTTTATTAAGTATTAAAATTCCATAAATAAATTCGAAATACTTGAATCAAGTCATGCATTTAAAGCTTTGACGTTTGCTTATCGGATATTGCTTTTGCTTAGGGATTCAATTTGTTTTAGCAATATTATTATCTGCCTGAACTGTAGCATTTACGTAAATAAAATGGCAATGCTAGAGATGTACGCACATATGAGAGCCTAATAACTAGTAGAGGAAACAAATCAAATATTACGTATACGCCATGTGAGACCTGGCAAAGGGTTGTGGGAAGTCGTGTCAAAGGCGAAATTCAAGGGAAAATCGTTGGCTAAAATGCTTGGTATTTTCTTTTTCGGGCATTCACTCTGACTTAAGCACACTGAGTGCGTTCAAAATCAACACTTTCCTCGAGGCCGGGGAGAGTTGAGAGGCTTGGGGATTTGTTTACTTGAAGGGAGTTTGGGACAAGTGAGGCAGTGTTTACTTCAGTTTTGTGGTCCCTCAAGTTAAATTGCAAATTGCAAAGTTGGCATTTTGTGTATGTGAGCCTGAACCATGACGTTTTCATTTGTGTGACCAACTGACCCAGCGCTCGACCCCCAGCTGTGCCTTTGCTTATTGAAATTGCGCCCGGACGGGCTGCTTTCGGCTTTTGAATTTATATTGTGTCGAGTGCTGACTTTTGAAAATGCACTCAACTGTAATCTGTATTAAGTATGTGAATACTCGAGCCTCGCTCTGTTTATGTCCTAGCCGAGTATCTCAATGCTCATATGTGCTATTGTGCGAATCGCACTCAACAAAGGCTCAACAACTTTCTGGCTTACACTGCTTTTGGGGTTTGGTCTTTGTGCTGGTCTGATGATGCGTCTGCGACAAACTCAAACTACTTATGCATAATTTTTATTTACTTTCCGCCCAAGCTAAGCTCGTTGAAAGTGCTTAGCTAAAAGATACCCTGAGCCCGACTCCAAGCTACGGTTACGTCCATTCTAGTCAACAACATACATTTATAAAGATCGGAACGGAATAAATTATTTAGCTCTATTTTAGTGCATTTCAGTGGGTTCAGGGTATAAAAACTCATTAAGCCAGTTTATATAAAACTCGTTGGGAAACTTATTCAACACTTACCCTAAATTAACAGCAAACTTTGTTGATGGTCTTTGCGTTTTTCATATACTGGCTGTCCATACAGCAGCTCGAGCAGCCGTGGTGCTTGGAGATGCAAGTCGAATGCAACTCAAACAAGCTTCCCATGTTGCAAGTAGCCGGGAACGACTTCGGCTCTGGCTCCGGCCCGGGCTCTGATTTCTGCCTCGCCTTCGTCTCTGACCGTCGCTCGCTTATCATAAAGCTAAGACTAAAGACAGTCAATTTTAAGTGAAATTCTTGCTGCTCGCTGTTCGCTTAAGTCGGTTAATGCAATATGCATTAGTTGACAGAGTTGTTGGCATGGGGCGTGGCAACTGTGTGGGTTCGCTCGGGAGCTCACTTGCCATCAAGTTGTGTAAATTAAAAGTTATTGGAGTGTTGGCTTAGCTGCTGTACAAATTACTTGTGGGTACCTTGGGAAGTGCATGAGCTCTTTGACGTCAATAAAAACATAGCAATCAGAGTAACAGCTCGCAAACGAAATATATAATTACTTTCTTAATGCCTTTTCTTTCTTAATCTGACTTTATTGCAAAAGAACTCAAAAGTCAGCTCTTCCAAATATATATAAGAATGCTCATCAAATCGAGAAAAAAGAATTTCAACTCCTTATTTCTAGTCTTCATTCAAATTTAATTTTAAGAACTCTCTGTTTAGAACTCTCTAAAGCCTTATACTTTTGTCTTAAAGTCAAGGCAGCACCCATATAGACAAAATATCTACACAGAACAAACAGCCGAGACGCACACAAATGACTTGTGGCTAGCGGCTGACGTGGGTGCGGCTGCATGAGCTGTGGGGATGTGCGAGGAACAGTTAGAATACACAAAATGTTCTTTTCAATTAGTGCGAGAGGAAGAAATACTGCAAAACTAAATCCACCCCATCAAAATAAACTCACCAAAAACCATTGAGAGGGTTGAGGAAAACTGTTTGCGAACGTAGCAGTAAAAGATGATAAAATGCCTGAAATGCGACAAACAGCTGTCAGCTTGACAGCGGAGGACGCAGCGCCTGGCGGCCAGGCTAAAAGCCAGCCTAGGCCACAGAGCACGACTGCACCAATGCTATAGATAAAGAATAAGAGAGGGAGAGAGAGGGAGATAGGGCGTGTGGGGAATAACGATAGTGACAGTGTCCTGGTGTCATATGGACTCGGCACACTATGACATGGCTTTCATTTGCGCTGAGCTTGCCAACTGTGCGCCTTGGTTCCTCACTGCCTTTGTCGTTATCATTGTTTTTGTTTTTGTCACCTCGACGTCGTGACTTTGGCCCAGAGACAAATGCAAACGAGCTAAAGTTGAAGCGAAAATGAAAAACCGAAATGGAAATAAAAACACGCGCAGCAGAATGCAACTAAAAACCAAAATAATCACAAAGAAAACTCTTTGTAAACAAAAAGAAAAGCGGCAATTCACTGCAGCAAAAACAGTTCCACAGCTGAAGTTGAAGTCTGACGTTAAAGCATGAAAAATGTGTTGAATTGCCCAGCTGGACGTTTTCTTTTCACTTCCTCTTAATACTCTGCACTCATTGATAATGGATTTCAATTCTATAAGCCATGGCCAAAATGAAAATAAACGAAATATGGATGAAGAACAAGATATATAATAAATCTTTTGTTAGAGCAACATTTTGTTTTTGATCATAATCTATGTTTGGGAAGACTTCATTTATTAACCTCCAATCAATTGAGACTATATCAAACTATCGTTAGCTTCTCATTTTGCCTTAGAGTCTATAAAGCTCGACATTCATAATTTATTTTTAGAATTTCTAGCATATGTCAATGACAGCGGGGCGCTGTGTATAGAGTATTTCCTAGTCGTGTCCTGCTCACTTCAGCACCGTTGCAGGTTTTCTACTTGAAATATTTTTACTTTTTCTCATTGTTATCTTTGTGCTATTCAAGTTGTTCACGTGGGCGTGGCTTTAAAAAAATTGCTTGCAATTGTTTATTACATGACTTCTGACAGGCGTACGTGTTGCATCCATTCAAAATTACAAATATTTAGATGTAGCTGAATCATTTTCCTTAATTTCCCTTTAATTTCCTAATCTGCATTCTCTCCTCTAAGCATATCAAATAACTATGGAATATGGAACACGTGAAAAGCTTATCTGTAAAAGTTTCCTGCAAAGCTGGCCAAAAAAACAAGCAATGCCGTAGGTTGTTTGGCTTTACATTTGCATACGAGCTGATATATTGTCTTAGCCAACTTTCAGCTGGCGTCCGGTGATGAAATGCCAAACTATAAGCTAGATTAGGTTGACACAAATTGAAATAACGGCTCGCAGCTGGATGCCTGTTTCTTAAGGTAATCGCTTCTTAAGTGTTTGGATATTTGTGGCCCCTTTTGTGGGGCTGCGCAGGGGCGGGCCTCAGCTGCCAACGCAGATATTTAATTTAAGCAAGGTCATTTAATTGAGGCTACGAAGCATTGCAAACATTTTGCATGCCAAGCATTTCATTTAACAGGGTTGGGATTGCGAATAGGAGAAGGTAACCGTAGGGCCACTTGCAGCCTAAGTTGATTTTATGGTTGGTTTTTTGTCATTTCACTAATTAAAGGCACATTAGACACTGGCACTGGCACTGGCACTGGTACTGGCTCTCGACCGGGCCAAGGCAATCTCTATTTGGGGCTTCGGGCTTTTGGTTATCTGACTCAAGCTGCGTCGACCGTGCGTCCTCGTACATAATTATCTAGGGTCCTTGAGAGCATGCGGGCGCCGGTTGTTGTCCTCTGTGCGACTTTAACTCAAGCCCTCAGCCCCTGCCATAAAACGAAAGCTAAAATTAAAATAAAAATTAAAATTAAAAGGAATTAAAATAGAAAATTTTGCCATGGCAGAAAGAACGTATTTCAACTTGAAAATAAATGCAAAATGGAGCGTTTGATAAAAAGCTTAGTTAAGGACCGTTTAGAAATGCTCAACCAAGTTACGATAGGTCGGCTGTGCTCTGGTTATTTTTTTATTTTTGTTTTTTTTTCCCATGGCTTTCTGGCAGGGGCCGCAACTTATCTGGTTAGGCCATTTAGTCATGGAACTCATGCAGGGGCCGAAAGTGTTTACTCCTTAAGTCTGTCAAGTGACAGGTTGAGTGTCCACAAATTGCCATTGGCGCTGCGAATAGACCAGTTAGGGTTAGAATTGCCGTTCGGCAAACTAACAGAATGCCTATAAACGGCATTTGCAAGAATCTGTGGCTATCGCGTCGCAAACTGTGTGTATTTAAATATATGTACTATTTATATTCATTTACATATATACTAATTAGGAATTGTCGCAAATTTTTTGATGACGAGGTTTGGACACATGCCTCTAAATTTTGTTTCTCACCTAATATAGAAGACCAAAACATCTTAATGGTCAAACGGCTGCTTTTTGATGTATATGTGATATATATATATATTTATATATTTATTTTCACTGAATTCAATTAAGGATTAATTAGTTTACCACTGAACACGCGGCCATTCGATACATGTTCATTTTTATTTTCAAGAATATCGTGCCTTTATATATTATTTTAATATAATAGTAATTGTGTTATTTATATTATTATTTTAAATGATAATGAAATAATAAATTGTATTGCATTAAGCTTCGCCTTCTTCAGTTCAAATTAAATTCCCAAAAATATAATTTCAATTAAATTTAAAAAATAATCAAAATGTTAAAAGAGATAAGTTAAAAGGTATGAAATAAATTCACAGATGCTGACTTTTCTGATTGGTTGCAAAATCGGATTAGTTGATTTTACGAAATCTCGACCACAGAAATTTATTGAATTGAATAGCATTGTGAAATGGAAATTCAAAAGCTCTTGAAAAGCCACTTGGCAGCTGTGAAGAATCACATGAAATATTGAGAAAGTGAACAGCAATATGACAATGCTTATTATGCCACTTTGGTTTGTTGCCTAAATATTTATGCAAATACGTGCTCAAGTCTTTAATCTCGTGCAGAACTTTGCCGAATTGTTTGATATGCAGAAAATTGAAGAGCAAAACTTTTCAGACAGACGACATCTCGACACTCACTCATACACTCACAGCGACGACAATGTATGTCGTCTTGGCTTAAAACAATGCCAAGCACTTGAGGCACATCAAGAAGACAATCAGACACAAAGCAACAAAGAAATCAACAAAGCGACAGAGACTCGAGCACATTGTCAAATAGATTTTGAAGGAAGTGAACTTCAAAAGCATTGAAGCACATCTCTTTTATCTCAGGTGTTTGCATTTCAATTTAAAACTTACCTGCCTGCCATAAAAGTAACACGAGCGTGCTAGCAGCAAATGAAGATCCAAAAGTTTGTTCTGCATACAAAAAACTACAAATAAAATATTTACTTAAAGAAACATAGCTTGAGATTGCTGTTGTGCTGCTGAGGGGCAGACTAGTAGATACCCTGCACAAAAAGCATTATGCAGCTCAGACAAAAGATTAACAACTGAGAGAGCTCTAGTCGAGACAGCTTGACGGTGATATTCGTTCTACTCTTATTTTATACATTAACTGCATTAGCTCTGTTAATGGGTTTTAGCATGAGAAATTAGTTGTTGAATAGCTCATCTTCTAAACGGACTTTCATAAGCTAATTTATATGTTTGCCAAAGCACAAGAGTCTAGTGCTTGAAATACGTTTTAATAAAAGTGCAAAAACATGAAATAATCGGGGATATATATACTTTATGGGCTCTGTTTATAAATTTTTGTTATATAAATTTTCTCAAAACAATTTACCTTGAGTTTTCATTTAAAAGAAAAAGTAATTAGTCAGATGGCAGATGGATATACAGATAAGACTATAAATATATTAAAACACAATGCATAAAAAGTGCAGACATCTAGCTTCAGGGCCAATTCCAAAGAACATTGTAAGTCTCTTAAGTTAGTTTGTAGCGCATAGTTGGATAAGCATCAAATTTCAATATGCAGCTACGCATAATGCGGGCTATGTACTTTGATTCACATTTGATAGAAACAAGCATACGCACTGTATGCGTAATATGCCAAGGGAACTAGATTTCGTGTACGCTGCGCGCCATAGTCTGGCTAATTTGTAATTGTCTTTCTGCATGCGACAAACAAGAAGCAAGAGCAACATATTAATATGCAACAATGGTACGCAATTACTCATGCCTTCTCTCTCTCTCTCTTTCTGGCGCTTGCCATCTCTCTTTCTGCAGTTACGACCGTGGAGCCGAACAATATGTATACAACGTGTATACCAATTGGCGGCAACTATACTGGCAATGGAGGTGGCGTGTATGCTCCGACAACACTGGCAAACGGGTCGACGGAGACCGTGGCTTCCGGCTTCGAGGCAGCCGGCTATGCGGCATATTCCACGGCGCTGAGCGTAACGATTGCCATCGGATGCAGCCTGCTCATATTGAATGTGCTGATATTTGCGGGCGTGTACTATCAGCGGGACAAGACGCGGCTGGAGGTGAAGACACTGCAGAAGCAGTATCAGCAGCGCAGCATGCATCAGCAGGTACCATATCCGCCGGAGCCCATAAAGCATGCTCATTACCACTTGGGCCACTCGCAGAGCGCCAATGTGATTGTTGACGTCGAGAGCCACGGTCAGGATCAGACCGGTCAGGCGGCCATGCTGCTACAGGCAGCCGCCGCCGCTGCCGCAGCAGCTAACGAGGCATCGAAGCCACCACCGCCACATATATGCGCCAACACGGGCTTGCAAGCGCAGCAGCAGCAGCAGCAGCAACAGCAAACACAGCAAGCGGGCGGCAGTGGAAGTATGCTTAATAATATGGCCATGGATGGCACTAAGCCCACGGATAACTTGGCCAATGTCACCTATAGCACCAGCACCAAACAGCAACAGCAACAACAACAGCAACATCAACAGCAACAGCAACAGCAGCAGCAGCAGCAACAGCATCAACAGCAGCGCGAGCATATGCAAATCAAGAGCATGGGCAGCGGAGGCACACAGACATTTGGACGTGGCAATGGCACAGTTGGCGGTGCAGGTGGCGGCGGTGGTGGTGCTGCTGGCAACAATAGCAGTGTGCCTGCCACAGCAGTGGGTGTCGGTGGTGGCGCCTCTGTTGTTGTGTCAGGCAGCAGCGTTAGCTACAATCCCGGCCTAATGACTTTGCCCAAGGCAAGCCAATTGCATCATTCCGGAGCTCTCAATTATGCACGCAGCAACACGGCCGCCTTGAATTTGGCAGGCGGCGGCACCGCCCTGGTGGATAGCCGCGGCAACGTCCTCCTAACCAGCGCCGGTGGCGCCAATAGCGATTGCATGACACTGCCACGCAATCTCAATCGTCACAATCCAACGACAGGTGAGTTAAGCACAAAACATTCTTGAAGCCAGCAACGAATTTAAGCCGCAAATGCAATTGGACGAATTGGTTTCTGATGCAGTCAAGCCAGAAGATGAAAGTGTTTCGTCGTTTTTCTCATTTTTGTTCTTCTTCTCGAATGCTACGTGCAGCATTCACTGCGAAAATGCAAACAGCAACAAGAGTGCACGAGGTGAGAGCATATGGCATCCAAACAATATTGCACCAAGGTAGCAATCAGTATATAATACGATAAAACTTCATTACATAATGAAGTGCTTTTCATTTTTATTTCATTTGCCCTGCTCTCCGCGTCTTCTTGCTGTTGGCTGAAAAGCGCACAGCTTGCATTTTGTTTTCGATTAAAAAACCACATCCTTAAATTGAATGAAAGCACAAAATGTATGTGAGAGAGAGATTGAGGATGGGAGGGAGGTAGGGAAAGATGAGTGTGTTCTGAACTAAATGATTGAATAAGCTTAAGGTTTCAAGGAAGAACTGGAACATTTCATGTGTGTAACAGCATTAAACGCATTTTCGAAATCAAATATAAATAATTGAAACCAAAATTATAAAAGCAGATTAAGTTCGTTTACAGACAAATGGCTGAGAGTAAAGCAACGAAATGAATAGTATAAAAATTAAGTTTATAATACGAGTTTGTTTGAGAGATCAAAATTATTCAGCTTACAGACTAAAGGCTGGTCCATAAAAAATATAATGATAAAATCTTGCGAATGGGACATATATATATTTTGAAGAGTTCAGATACAAGATTTTCTATCTTTGTCACTCATTTATAGATAGATATAGTATATTTATGGCGCATCGTTAATATTATATGACAAGATACTGCAGAACAGAGTCTACTTTCCTAGTTTCCCAATTCAACATCGTCTCGTCTGCTGCAGGCTCATTTCTCGTATTGAGTGCTAAAAATATTAGCCGAGTGGGTTTGCGTCTTATCTACAGGATTTTCATTTCTGGCTTGTATTCTCTAATGCTTACTGCTTGAGAAAGTGAAACAAAGATAGCTGCTGCGCAAGATACTCTCGCATGTTGCTAAGTGCGAGCGAGATGGCTATTGAGGCCACTTTGACTGAGTCTTTGTGATTGCCAGTCGACAAAGAGATTGTTCGTCAGGAAAAGCACATTGTGAAAGACAGTTCGAATTCATGTTTGGGTACAAAATACAAAAAAGAACAAAATTATAATGAATGAACTTAACACTAGTATATATATATCTTATATATATATCTTACATATTTCAAGTCAATACGCAGTCTTTAGAATTGGAATTTCCTGTCTCTTTCGCACAGCATATTCCAGCTTTTGCATTAGAAATAGCGATAAGTTTAAGAATCAGTCTTTAAGGAAAAAGGCAACCTCAGCGCTCAATCTAACACTTAGAAATGACTCGCATAATAAATATGAATGTATTTCTGTTACATATACCTACGTTTATAAATATGCTATTGGAAACACAGCTGGTAGTCTGCTGGCTGCTTGTTAGGTTGCTCAACAAAACAAAAAAGGAAGATATATTTGAAAAATGAATGACGGGGCAACATTGCCAAGGAACGCCAGCTACACATAAATTTCCTGCAAAATCACCCCAAGCAAACAAAAAAATATTGCTCAATCAAACCAAAAATGACCTTCGTGCTGGGTCTGACAAGACCATAAACTGAACCCCTGGCTATGCACAAATATGTCCGCGCGAAAATTGAAATTGTACTAATCAGCCACAGAGCTCACTCCGAGAGGCTGAAGCCAAAGATATTCTTGCGTTCTTCATGGGTAGCCAAATATCAAACGGCGCAAAAAGCAAAACTACAGCCAAAAAGCCAAAAAAGAGAAGAAGCCCAAGGCAGAAAAAACATTTACGCATCGCTGAAGTTCAACGCACTTGCGACTTTTGACCACAGTTTTGCTGGCAGACAGCAAACGAGCCGTTCAAAGACCATAGCCCATCCGTATGTCCGGCTTTGGCTCTGGTCGTGGAACCAGCTTTAGTTTGGCATCCGTTCAGTCCAATCCAATTCCCTGCTTAGTTGTTGGCCACGACGAAAATTGTTGTACAAATTATGCTCCACTGATTGCCAAGGCTTTCACGGAAATTATACTCTGTAGTGTTAGCAGGCTAACGGGTATATTAGCTCATCATAACATCTTTTATTATTTGCTATGAAGTCTTAGCAATACAGAACGACTTTTAGCATCATTTGAATGGTGCCCACAAAAGTATGCTATAAAAATGTTTACAATTTTTTAAACTGGAACATCTATTTTCTTATTTTTTATCGTTATTTTTTTTTTTCTAATAGCAGTTAGCAAGATTTTCAAAGAAATTATACTCTGTATTGCGAGCAGGCTAACTGGTATATTAGCTCATCATAATATCTTTTATCATTTGCTATTAGAACGACTTTTTACTATTGCCCACAAAAGTATGCTATAAAAATTTATTTTAAAAATTCTTAAATAGGAAAATCTGTTTTCGTTTCTTATAACCATCGGAAATCAAGGGAATTAGAATAGCATAAAAAGTTATTGAAACAAGGCAAATAATATATAGAAATATTATTAAGGTTAGGTCTACCGTAGAAACTCAACTGAGGAGCAGATCGTAAACAAATTTTACTTTAAATTTATGCATATTTGAGATGCACTTTTCATTATTTAAATATCAGCTCTGCCTTACTTACAAATATAAAACTGAAATAACACAAATATTTATGGCTATCATGATACAGCTTACAGGTAAACAAACAGCCGACAGTCGACAGACGATAGCTGCTGTGTCTTTGTTTGATGGCCTGTTAAATGAAGAATGGTGGATTGCAGTTGCGGCAACTTATTGACGGTTTTGCTCAGAGGCAACACGCCATGGCGGTCGTGACGGCACTTCAAAAAATATGCCCGCAACAATAAATTTCCAGCTGAGCTGTCGTGACATCTGATAAATTTGATTGGTCCGATAAATGGCTAGGTCTGCATTCCACTATCGCAGCTTGGCATGAGCTTACGTTTAGATTTTCAATTTCGATCGAGCGCCCATTTGCTGATATGCTTTTTATATAGTTTTCTCCCAGATATCGAGTCATGAAACGTTTACAGTTCAAGTTATTACTGTGCGCATAAAAAACAATAAAAAGCCGCATAAAACGGTTGTAAGTTTAATGCGCGGCCCTTGCATAATAAAATTGAAGCCAGCAATAAGGCCATGGCCCCAAGGGGCCAGCGGGGTCAAGGGGCCCAGCTCTGTGCAGCGTATTATGTTGTTTTTATTGTGGCACCCGCAGAGGACGACCCGCCCAGAAGTCGGACGGCGCGCTGGGCATCTGCCGTTGACATTTTTAGTCATAAATAAAATTCCAGCAATCGATTGCAACAAATAACAAAAACGTAGCACAGGTGAGGGCCAAGCAGGCAATTCGCAATTCTTTTTATCGACTGTTTATGAAATGCTCATGCGATAAGCAAAACAACACATTTTTTACAGCGGGCGAACTAACACGCGCGCGTGTGTGTCTGTGTAGTGGCTTGCTGTGACTGTGTCTGCTTCACGGTAATCAAATTACCGCCAACAGGGGCGAGATTCCGTGCACTGTGGCAGAAAATGTTATTAAATCCACACAGAGATTGAATCGTTTAAGTGCGAATCAAAAAACAGAGCAAATAGAAATGATTCGTTTTTCCGCTGGCTTGCGCACAATTTAAATAACAGATAAGTGCAAAAAAGCCAATTCATTTCTGTTTGTGACAAACCTATATATAGTCTAAATGTGAAAACACGGAAATAATAGTTTTGTTTAAGTGTAAACAATAGGCAGAAAAAGGCGGAGCATACATCATTAAGTTATATATATTAGTGATCAAGGCGTCTAGTCGCTCTAGCAATGTCCGTCTGTCTGCCTGTCTTTCTGGCCCCCAGCCTCTTTCTGGTTGTAGTTTGAATACTCTAAATGCTGAAAGTTTCCAGTTTACTGAGTTGGCTTCTATATTAAATACACAAATTTTGGCTACCTGCCCCTTTGGGCACAAACTTTAAATAGTAGAGACTTTGGTTAGTACACAAATATGTATACTAATTTTAAGCTGAAAATGTAATTAGGAAAGTTTATTTTGAACAAATGTTGTACAAAAATTAATTTCCCACAGAAATGCAGCTGCTTCATTGAGCGCGCAGTAAGCGAGGCGTAGAATAAGCAGAACTCAAGCAATCTCCAGGCAAGAGTTGTCTTGCTTGAACCCATTGAAATGAGAATTTAGGAAATAAAAGCTTCGTTAAAAATACAACAGCCAGAAGCCAGGATACGTGGCATAGCCCACAATGTGTATATATTCTTGGTCTGGATCAACAGTCAAGTCGATGTAAGACTTCAAATGTTACACATAAATCCATCAATTGCACGCGCTTATCAAGTTTGATTTAAAAATCGATAACTATTTCCCCTCCAATATAATCTATTAAAATCGTTATTGAATTTCAGCTGTCAAATTCTTCTACCTTGTACATCTTAGCAGCTTTAGTCTATTTTATACAATTTTTATTTTATTTCAATATTGTTTAAGCTTCTAAAATTGATGAAATGAAATTGCCAATATAGACAATAGTTGAAAAAGTTTTATTCTAAAAAGCAACGCATTCAATAGAGTCTCTAACTTATTGCTTGAAATGTCACTGAAATCCTTTAAATCTCACAGAAATTTTTTAATATAAAAGTGTGCTCTCCATGAGTAAGAAGCCTGCCTGGATACACATAAATCAAAATACATCATAAAATAAATCACAATTGCTAATGAATTGTGTTGGAATGTCAGCCTCTACTTTAGCTAAGATATGCCACCTCACGAACAATCAATGAAGTGGCAAGACAATGCCTTTAGTCGAGGATGCTCAGCTGTGATTCCTAGCGAAGGCAACAAACGTGACATTTGAATGTGTTTAAGCACATATACATATATTTTATATATATATATATATATATATATAT